TGGAGGCCTCTTGCATTTGTATGAATATCTTTCTCTAGATTTGGGAAATTTTCCGTTATTATTTTGTTAATATATTACGCATTCCCTTCGCTTGCACCTCTTCTCCTTCTCGATGCCCATGATTCTCAAGTTTGGTCTTTTGATGGAGTCAGTGAGTTCTTGCATTTTCTTTTCACAGGTCTTGAGTTGTTTAATTAATAGTTCTTCGGTTTTTCCTTTAATTACCATTTCTTCTTCGAGTTCTGAGATTCTGTCTTCTGTTTGTTCTATTCTGCTGGATTGGCCTTCCGTTTTGTTTTGCAGTTCTTTTCTCTTTTTTCTGAGGTTTTCCATATCCTGGCTGTTTTTTCTTTATGTTGTCTATTTTTGTCCTGAGTTCATTTATCCATTTATTCATTTGTTCTCTCTTTCACTTTGGTGTTTATACAGTGCTTCTATGGTTTCCTTTATTTCTTCTTTGCTTTTTCAAATTCTCTATTTTTTTGTCTTGGAATTTCTTGAGTGTCTCCTGTACATTTTGGTTGACCCTATCCAGTATCATCTCTATAAATTCTCATTGAGTACTTGTAGTATGTCTTCTTTTAAATTATTCTTGTAGCTTCATTGGGTCCTTTGGCATAGTTTATCTTTTTTGTTGGAGTCTGGCTCTGAGTTTCTTTCTTCTTCATTCCCCTCTGGTTCCTGTACTAATTTTTTTGCTGTGGGGAAACTGGTTTCCTTGTTTTTTTCTGTCTTCCTGTCATTGTCCTTGGTGTTTGTTACTGTCCCTGTACTGTGTGTAATTAAGTATTTTCTAGCTTGAATAATAACAATTGGTAATATTGAGAATGGAAGAGTGAGCTGAGATGGAAAAGCAAGAAGTTAAAGAAAGGGGAAAACAAATATACAGACAAGAGGGAGAAAGCAGAACAAGTTATCAGACAAGAGAGTTTCAAAGGTATAAACAGGAGTGTTAGTGTACTAATCGACAGTAAGCGGAACAGGACGATAGAGTGACAGAGAGAGGATTGAAAATCAAAGATTAAAAAAAAAATAAAAAATAAGTAATATGAAGTAATATCTGAGTCCGCGTCTTTCCCAAGCCGTATGGGTGCCGCCACTGGCGGCCGGGGGCCTCTCGGTTCTCATTAAGCGTGAGTGGAGATTCCTGCGCCGGCTGGAGATGTGGCGGATCTAGTTATGCCTTTTCTCTGATTATGCCTGCAAAGTTTGTCTCTCAGCGTCTCTCCAAGACTTGTCACTATAGAGGGTCCTTTCGCTTGCCTACCTCTAGCGCCATCTGGGAATCTCGGATGCTTGAATTTAATTCTACGTGTGCGTGTGTTGAGATGTGATACTATACTACCTAAGTACATCACTCTGCCAAGGTGAGATTCTTGTTCAGTATATAACTGCTAGATGATGAAAAGTGTTGAAGATTATGTTTGAGTAACTAGTGCCAAAGAAGTATACCAAATGTTTTAATCGATTTATAATTACTATGAAAGTGCCAATTGGCTTTCATTTTCCCCAATCACATTGCAGTATTATCATTTTCAATTTAATTTCTGATGGATATGTATATCTCATTTGTAATTTTAATTACATTTCCATAAAGCTTCATAT